AGGTCCTTTGGGAACAAGCAACAGAATCCGTGGAGACAGAAGATTATTATGGCCTACAGAGAATGAGGCATCTGGGTGTAACCAGAGGGTCAGGACGGCTCACTACACTCAGAGGAAAGGCTACAGGGACATAGAACTCTATTGTGACGTGTACCATCAGTACTGGAACTCTGCGCTGGCTGCTGAAGATGAGGACAGAGGATGCAGGGGAATGCCCCGAGTGCTGTGATGTCAAAACTTGACTCAACTCATAATTATTATCATCATCATCATTTAGTTCCCGTGTGGTTTCCAGATTGCCACTGTGGGGTGGGAGGTAGGGAGGGGGGGGGGGTAATGGGGGGAGGGGGGAGAGTCGGGGACAAATCCATTGCCCACATCAAGCATTTTGTAAAATATATATTAATTTGAGGTTTTAGATTCAAAGTCGAACTGCATCTGCCGGAGAGACAAGGAACTAGCAGTCTGCATATAAATCAATCAGATCTGTAAAACTGTGGTACATACACAACGCAAGTGCTGGGACAAGAATAAAGTCCATAAGTGGACGAACAACCAGCAATTTCTGCCAGTTCATAGTCGTAAACGCTAAGAAAAAGATGATTATCATTTAGTTTCTGTGTCATTTCAGCTCAAAACCCATATTTCCTTCCCTGACGACTGCCAAATGGTGCACGGCTAACATCCCTCTGTTGCTACAAGAAAGAGGCTTGCTCTCAGAACATAGATTTGCTTGCTAGCGTTAATTAATAGTTAGCTGGTTAATCGACAGATTATCCTCATTGTACATCGGACAAGTCCATATGGGCTCAGATCCCATTTTCAGTACATCCCCCAGTGTGTAGCGACAGATAACTCCAGTCCTCCGTTGCTTTACTATTCTTTTTTGGCTACCCGCATAGTGTTCTTGTTTGGCGACACCTCTTTTGACGTGCAGTTCTTATCGTAATTTAAGTGTTGCTGGTTCACCGTCGTCTCCTGAATGATTTTCTCGTCCTGCCTCCTTGACAGCACTGAGAATGTCGGCCCGGTCAATTTCTTTTCCTCAACCTACAGTGGCCCTTCCAGCAGTTTCTTCTACTGCTTATTGCTGTTAAAGCTGTGTTAAGCAGAAATGTATGTTGTACCGCACATTCGTAAAATAGCGAGCTGCTTGTTGCACCCAGATTTAGCGATGTGTCTTATGCAGTAATACATGTTGCCTGTGTTGGTTTGTCATGACTACTGCTTCTGTTTGCTCTGAATACCAATTCCAATGACAGACTGTAGGTGTCAGTACATCTGTCTTATTAATTTGATGCATGTGCGATCTTTTGAATTCTGTCAGGAATGTTGATTGATTTCACTTTTCCCGTGGGACAGCTATAGGCATTTTGGAACCCCGACTTATAGCTTGATAGTTTGCTATTCATGGAGCACAAATATGCAAACCTTGCGACGTTTTGAATTTCCTCACCATTTACTGCTACACTGGTGCCCAAAGGCATTATAAACTCTGAGCACTGGCTAATGATGCCCAGCCCCCCTGCCCCGCCCAGAAACTGAGAGAGCTGAGCCCTTCCCCCCTTTTCCCCCTCACCTCTACCCACTCATTTTTGTTGCTTCCAGTATTTTCTTCGTTGCAGTGCAGCTGAATGTACTCGACTGAAAGATACAGTGAGGAGTGTATTGTGTGTGAGTTTCCAGAGAAAGATACAGTGAGGAGTGTATTGTGTGTGAGTTTCCAGAGAAAGATACAGTGAGGAGTGTATTGTGTGTGAGTTTCCAGAGAAAGTTCGTAGTCGTTTGATGAAAAGATCCACAAATGAGCATGAAGATAACATGACCAACCCTTGTAAATACACACTAACTATTATCATTATTATTATTATTGTTATTATTATTATTATTATTATTATTATTATTATTATTATTATTATTAGCAGAAGAAGAAGAAGAAGAAGAGGAAGAAGAAGAAGAAGAAGAAGAAGAAGAAGAAGAGAAGAAGAAGTAAAGAAGAAGAAGAAAAAGAAGAAAGAAGAAGAAGAAGAAGAAGAAGAAGAGAAGAAGAGAAGAAGAAGAAGAAGAAGAAGAAGAAGAAGAAGAAGAAAGAAGAAAGAAGAAAAAGAAGAAGAAGAAGAAAGAAGAAGAAGAGAAGAAGAAGAAGAAGAAGCAGAAGAAGAAGAAGAAGAAGAGAAGAAGAAGAAGAAGAAGAAGAAGAAGAAGAAGAAGAAGAAGAAGAAGAAGAAGAAGAAGAAGAAAGAGAAGAAGAAGAAGAAGAAGAAGAAGAAGAAGAAGAAGAAGAAGAAGAAGAAGAAGAAGAAGAAGAAGAAGAAGAAGAAGAAGAAGAAGAAGAAGAAGAAAGAAGAAGAAGAAGAAGAAGAAGAAGAAGAAGAAGAAGAAGAGAAGAAGAAAAGAAGAAGAAGAAGAAGAAGAAGTAAGAAGAAATCTCCACAGAAGAAAGAAGAAGAGAAGAAAGAAGAAGAAGAAACTTTAAAGAAGAAGAAGAAGAAGAAGAAGAAACCGAAGAAGAAAAGAAGAAGAAGAAGAAGAAGAAGCCAGAAGAAGAAGAAGAAGAAGAGAGAAGAAGAAGAAGAAGAAGAAGAAGAAGAAGAAGAGAGAATAAGAAGAAGAGAAGAAGAAGACGAAGAGAATAAGAAAGAAGAAGAAGAAGAAGAAGAAGAAGAAGAAGAAGAAGAAATCAGAAGAGAAGAAAGAGAAGAAGAAGAAGAAGAAGAAGAAGAAAGAAGAAGAGAAGAAGAAGAATAAGAAGAAGAAGAAGAAGAAGAAAGAAGAAGAAGAGAAGAAGAGAGAAGAAGAAGAAGATTCAAGAAAAGAAGAAGAAGAAGAAGAAGAAGTTAAGAAGAAGAAGAAGAAGAAGAAGAAGAAGAAGAAGAAGAAGACGAAGAAGAGAGAAGAAGAAGAAGAAGAAGAAGAAGAAGAAGAAGAAGAAAGAAGAAGAAGAAGAAGAAGAAGAAGAATGAGAAGAAGAAGAAGAGAGAAGAAGAAGAAAGAAGAGAGAAGAAGAAGAAGAAGAAGAAAAAGAAGAAGACGAAGAAGAAAAAGAAGAAGAACAAGAACACGAACACGAACACGAACACGAAGAACACGAAGAACAAGAAGAACAAGAAAAACAAGAATCAAAAGCATACGTAGTAATATCTGCACTAGTAGTATAAATAGTTTTGGCTGTAGCAGAATGAATAGTATGCAATATGTGTAGCAAGAGAAGAAGCATAATGAATATAATAACCGTAGTAGTAGTTGTGGATGTGGTGGTAGCAGTAGCACTGACATCAGCATTAGTAATACTTAGGGGTAATGGTAGTAGGTGTAAAAGATACAGCTGTAATACAAAGAGTAATAGAAGAAGAAGAAATAATAAATGTAGCCAAAGCAGCAGCATCAATAGTATGATAGTAATAGTAGTAGTAGCGGCACTGGAAACAATATTCTTTCTCTAACCTTCGTCTAGGTCATCTGCCTCCTGCTCCAGCCAGTTAGAGTAGTCAGTCAGCTCATTTTTGCTACCGATCCACAACCAGTTGCTGTCATTAAACATGTCTGTTGCCCCGATCCAGGCTCGCTGATCTGAAACAACATTTGTCATAAGTCGGTGTACATGTAACTTCTGTAATTGCTGCTTTCACTTTCCCTTATAAAATAATAACGCATTATTTTACTCTTTATTGTAGCTGTTTAATATTTATGGCAAATATGCCTTTCGGTTTTAACGTAGCACAAAGTACGCTCACTGCACGCTACTCATGCAGATACTGCAACGTGTGAAAGCAATTTGTTTCTAGTACTACAATACCAGCTGCGTGCGCATACTCTCAATAGCGAAGCGTGGAGGAGAAAAACTGGACGTTATACCCTTTATAGTTCATCTTTTTTCCTTTTAGTCCTTACACATGCCAGCTGATCATGTCTCACTACTGAAGTTACTTTGAACTGCAGAAAAGCGTTTTATTTAGGTATAATATTATACAAAAGTAAATGTTAGTCAATGACAGCAAGAATTACACTTAACTAACTCTTTACCTTTCAGTTTAATATCACACTGTGGTGGTATTTTTTCTTCTTTGACGTAACCATTACCTCCGTTTTCTTTATGTTCAACGACGGAACCTTTTTTGTTAGCACTCTCCCTCACTACAATGCCCAATATTTGTTGTTGATCATTTGCATTTTCAGCTATTACTATTGTGTCATCTGCTTAACGTATGTAGTTAATATTTTAATCTCCCACTATAATTACTTGTGAATCTTTGACCTCTCTCAGTATCATCTCGCAATATATATATATATATATATATATATATATATATATATATATATATATATATATATATATAGAGAGAGAGAGAGAGAGAGAGAGAGAGAGAGAGAAGCGGTCAGGTGACAAAGAACATTCCTGTCTTACTGTTATATATATATATATATATATATATATATATATATATATATATATATATATATATATAATTTCTATATTTAAACATAAATATCAGACTGCAATGTGCTTAAATTGTACTTACATTTCTAAATAATTTTTAGTGATAAACCTGTAACAAATCTAGGGAACTAGATTTCGTGATAAATTTCGTAACTATAAAAAAAATGTAAGTATATATACTGTTAAGAGTTGACGATTATTGTATGCAAAATGTAACTGGGTTTTAAACGCTTTATGCTCTAAGTCAATGATTCCCAAACTGTGTGCCACGGCGCCCCGGTGAAACCGTGACCTCTTCACAGGGGCGCTGCAAAATATTCAAAGATACACATGTTTTTGTTTTTGTTTATCCTTTACATACGGAAAGTCATACTTTTAGTTAGGTTAGGGCGCTGTGGAAAAATGTTAATTAAAAAAGGAGCCGCGACTAAGACAAGTTTAGGAAACACTGGTCTAAGTACTTACTGTGCAAGAAAGCTCTAATATTTGTACATTTTACTTTCACAGACAGGGAGCCTCTCTGGTGTAGCGACTAGACACTCGCCTGCGGTTCCGAAGATCGTGGGCTCAGGTACTGACCGAGCTGAATTTTTTTCAAATATGACCTTGGCTCCCAGTTGACCTTAACCTGGGTACCAGGTACAGTTCTAGGAAGTAAAGGCGGCTGCTGTGATGTTAACCACTTCATCAGCTAAGTGCCAATTGGTATATGAAATATAGGTCTAGCCCTATATGCCCAATACGCATGAAGGCGTAGAAAAAGGTCCTTAACATAATATTGCACAACATAATATATCACAGCATTGTGAACTAATTCTTTCCGAATTTTTAGCTATACTCTTTCTGTAACAGTGTTTTTATTATTAACTCACTCAGATCTAAATAAATATAATGCTTAACTCTCTGAGTCCCAGGGGGTTTAGCATCAGAGGCCCAAGGGGTAGTCAAAAGAGATGTAAAATCGGCGCATCTTGCGATCATTGGGCCTCTAGGCAGGAACCTCTGAACGTATGATGCGTTCCTTGGGATTCAAAGAGTTAAAGGAAGAATTCAATGGGATAGAAAGTGTTAAAGTGATAATTTACTGGTTCAGAAAGGGTTAAACTATGAGAATTAGTGAACTGTTTTTAACGTACATTTTCTGAGTCTTAGCTCCAGCGAAATGAAATCATTTTCGACTTGTGATGAAACTTCTGCCAGGGAAGAGTCAAACAGGCTGCAGATTGCCTGAAATGAAAAACAATACGTTCAACATTTACTACTGTAAGTGTAAAATGAATATTTTTAATTTCTCATGTGTACATTAAATAACACTCATGAAGAAATACAGTAACTTATATTAAAAGATGGAGTTGGGGAAGGGGGTGAGGGGTTACGTTACCTGAGCCCCATTTTGCAACCACTATATTGAGAAAAATAGGTATTAGTGACATATTATCGAAATTCATATTGAGACGTTTTTATCAAGAGAACAGAAGAAGCAGGAGGAGACGAAGAAGAAACAGACGAAGAAGAAGAAGAAGAAGAAGAAGAAGAAGAAGAAGAAGAAGAAGAAGAAGAAGAAGAAGAAGAAGAAGAAGAAGAAGAAGAAGAAGAAGAAGAAGAAGAAGAAGAAGAAGAAGAAGAAGAAGAAGAAGAAGAAGAAGAAGAAGAAGAAGAAGAAGAAGAAGAAGAAGAAGAAGAAGAAGAAGAAGAAGAAGAAGAAGAAGAAGAAGAAAAAAAAGAAAAAAGAAGAAGCATAAGAACGACTGTTTATAAACTTTGTGTTAAAAAAAAGATACATGCATATTTTTACTGACATTATGTCTGCATAGTTTACATTTAACGTCTAACAGACACAGCATATACTTACTGAAGCCTCGATCCAAGAAAGGTGAGATGAGCCAAAACTGTAACATAGTCCTTCGTTGTATATCCAGTCCTCAGAACAAGGACTACCTGAAATTAATATAGTATACTCTTTGTTGTGTTAATATTATTTTTTGTTCCTGAGCGAGAGGTAAAAGAACGGTTGCTAAGGCGCTTCTTACTAGACCGAAGATCTTAGGTTCGAATCTGAAACTGAGGGTTAATATGTATTGATATTTCCCGTGTAGGTTCCCAACCTTTTTGTTGGGAAAACAAAAATACACCCACAGCTTGCCCATCAAGCATGTCGCAACAGTCGACTAGCTGTGAGCTTCTTTTACAGTTTAAGTACATCTGCATGAGAGGCAAGAAACCAACAGCCTGCATACTAGTAAGTCTGATCTGTAAAAGAAAATTGCAAAACAAGGCTAATGTCCAGAGGTGGACGAACACCCATAACGATCCACATTAGTTTACAGTTGGTGAACATAAAAACGAAAGAAAAGTACTCTTAAATAATTGTTTTGACTATCATTTTTGAGGACTGAGGGTTACAGCTTATTACCAAAATGACACAAATACACACTAAGAGAAACGGACTTTAATATTTAGACCGCGTAATGGAGTCTTTTGGGCTCTGCAGCCATATTTAAAAGACATTGAAGATGGGGATTCATAACGTTGCCTTTGTGGTCTCTCGCCAGCTCTACCGTCTATTGTACTTTCATATTTAAGGAGTCACTTATATCCTGTGTTCATCTTTGTGTTGGTCTTCTCCTACCCCTCCTTCCTGGTACCATGCCCGCTGCTATTACTTTCCTCAACCGGCCATGGCGCTTGATATGACAAAAAATGTCAGCTTCCTACCCAAGATGCTGTGTATTAGCCAATTTACCACGAGTATACAAAATAATAGGTCCAGCTGTATAAGCCTTATAGGTAACTGGCATTTATTGGTATTTAACAGAGCTAATTTGACACATAAATATGGTGTGTTGCATTAAGTGTCTCCATGGTCATCGCTGTTGAATAGATGTCCACCACTTCATGACAGTGGGAATCGCCGTGGCAGAACGGCTAGACGCGTGCCGCGGAACGGAAGGTCGTGGGTTCGCTCCCTGAGGAGTCGGTTTCTTCAGAAATGACCTTGACTCCCAGGTCGACCCAGTCTTGAGTCGGTACTGGGTGCAGTCCCGGGAAGTAGAGACGGCCGGCGTGATGCTGACCACATCACCCATCTTGTGCCGTTGGTCTATAAAAAATAGGTCCAGCCCTATACGCCTAAAGGCGTAGAAAAAGGTCCTTTACTTACTTTTACTTTACTTGATGACAGTTGTGTAGTTCGTAATTTAAAAGCATGTCAGTGTGAAACAAAATCCCTTTTGTGTGTGGGTGTGGGAGGGGGAGGGAGGGGTTTTTAACACATATTCTATGCTATAACCATTAGGACATAGTGGATAGAAAAAAAAAGAAGATTATGATGATGAAGAATTGAGAAGAAAAAAAAACACACACACAAGCAATAATGGCCAACACCATGAATCATACTGGTTGATTTCCACCAGCCTATTTAGCAAAGACTCGATCGACTAGAACTGTATCTAATATAATCTCACCCCCCCCCCCCCCCCCCGATTTTCATAATGTACTTCAAATTGTCTAGGGAGGTTATAGAACGTGTTACGGATTTGGCTTCACCACAGTAAAGTGGATGAAAATAGCTGTCGCCCCCCCCTCCCCCCCCACCCCCCAACGCCCAGCAGTAACTACTAAAGTCGACTGTCAAGCTGTGAGAGGTAGCCAATGGTGGTGTTTGCTTTTAGTTTCTCTATCCCCTTTTTAGGTTCTCTTTCTCCATCGAATTAGTCTATTAATATGTGACAAATTTTTATTTTACGAACAGTCAACTAAATAATTATTATTAACTTTCCTCAACAAATTAATCTTCTTACCATTAATTACGATCAAGCACAGAAGAGCGGCAGAAACAGATGCCAAAAGAGAGGCCATTTTGGTGAAGTCAGTTCAACGAATAACACAATCGGTTTGACGGGTTGTTTCTTTTGAGAAAACCGGAGTCTATTTCTGTGGCTTCACCTTGACCATCTCATTAAAAACAAAAAATTATTCAAATTTAATTGTTTCATAGTTGGTTGTATTAAGATAGGAAACATGCGCGAATACATTTTTATGGGGCGTAGGACGGTCCAATTGCGAACACAGGTCAGTAAGACAAAAATGTCTACAAATTGTGCAAGATAGACTGAAAATTATGGAACGGTCATCGTAAAGGTCGAAATGGAACTTGACTGTCAATTTTCGATAGTGCTATTTTAATTTCTGACATCGTTATCAGTCACTGCATGGCCTTGGAGTATTTAACTTTTTTATTAATTTTTTTTTTTCTAAAGACCAATGGACACATGGGAAACAACATAAGTTAAGCTTTAATTCAGTATGGCAAATACGTGTCAATGTTTAAGAAACTAATGCGGTACATGACGTGATTTCCAGTTAGAGAATCGTGCAGGACAAACTGATGAAAGTACTATAATACTTTTATTTTAATTAAAAACAAAACAAAAAAACTAGGGTATCAAAATGAATCTACCGACATGCCTAGATTAGATAGGCAGGTATCTAGACAGCTTGACATTTTAAAATGAAGCCAGCTAGTCTGACAGCAGGGCAAATAATTAGACACACAGCAACATATAGACAGACAAATATACACATACAGACATGTTGATAGGTGGATCAATATAAACATGATGGATGGATGGATGGAGGGATGAATAGATGGATGAATGTTCACCTGGGTAACGCATCCTACCAAATGACTCGCTCCAGTCACATGCAAGGGCTCCCTCAGACGACAAAACAACTACTGGGTTCCTACAGGAGAGCAAGGAGAGACCAACGACAACAGAAACACCACAAAATGTCAGGCTCAAGTAACCAACCACAATATATCTAGAAAAGATTACATGTCCTATCGTAACCACCAACACTACCTAATGATGCCGTAATATAATAACCACAACACACCAGGTATGAACTGATAGGGCATTCAGTATCTTTATTATGGATCAACACATTGCGATGATGATAACCTGTGATCAATAATTTATTGCCAGTCCACTACTTCCTGCCCAATACACTCACATCGGCAGTCTTCGGAACATGGTCAAAACACCCTGGCGAACCATGTACAGGTGAATGCTAAGGGCAACCCACGCCCAATTGCGAAAATACAACTACGTGATGTGCAGTGACAGTCCTCTAACGGCCCTATCTCTATGAAGCTCGCCAACTGAGGGCCAAAGTTAAATGCACCACATGGTAAAAAAGAATCTAGGCCTCCAGACTGCAACCTAGTCGCTTGTTGAAGTGTCACTGATCACCCTCCAGTTAAGCACCGCAATCAGAGGAATTTTGAGACTCCGCCAACCGCTGACCAGCATTCCGGTAACATTCCCCCTTACAACTCCACGTTGGTCAACACACTCAAAGTTACCACAGCACCTTCCGTAGAGCTTGAAGACATCCCGTCAATCATCCTGTTACATAGCCCCAAAACTCATAGGCATTCTAGAAAATTAGACTGACAGCATTTCGATGATCCACCACATTCAAACAGACAGTTTAGGAGCTCTTAGAGAATAAAATATATTGTTAAAACAGCCACAGAAGTCTTTGCGTCCATGGACCTTGAACAATTCCAGCAAACGTCCACAAGCTTAGGCTGTATGAAAACACTGACTCACTCTACCCCGCGGCGTCCGTGGCCTAGGCGTTGCGAGTCTGACTCGTAATCCTAAGTACCGCGATCGAAACCCACTGCTGGCTGCGTGGATTTTTATCATGGTATGGGGCGTCGCAGTTCGACCCAGCCTAAACTGGGTACCAAGATGGGCTGTCTTGGGAAAGTAACGACGTAATGCTGACCACACCTTGTGCGGATGGTCTGTAAAAATATGGGTGCTCTTCCCATATGACCGATACGCCTAAAGGCGTGAAAAGGGATCTTTTCTTACTTACACTCTACCCCAGTATCATCCCTCGTGCTGTCGACCCACAGGGATTTCACAATATAGGCAATGGACGATGGTGACGTGTCAGCAAGCTCGTCATAAACTTCAAGGGACTCATGTTTCCCCAACTTCAGGTGGCTCACGCTCCGCTCTCTTCCTGTGGCCCTAAATGTTCAGCTTCACAACTCATCATCCCAAAGCTAGTGTGCATCCACGTCTTGCCAAGCCCTGGCATACTTTACTATTTACAAACCAACGTGACTTTCGCACACAACAGCACATCCCCGTCTTCTCCCAGCAAATGGACCACAAAACCTGCCAGTTTGCTCGAGAGAGGGCCTCTGTTTTTGCTCACAATCATTCCAAAAAAATATTTTATTTCTAGTTTGTGCCTACACTCTCTAGTCTGTACCTACACTCTCTTGTATGTGCCTACACTCTCTAGTCTGTACCTACACTCTCTTGTATGTGCCTACACTCTCTAGTCTGTACCTACACTCTCTTGTATGTGCCTACACTCTCTAGTCTGTACCTACACTCTCTTGTATGTGCCTACACTCTCTGGTCTGTGCTTACATTCTCTAGGATGTGCCGACACACTCTTGATTGTGCCTACACTCTCTAGTCTGTACCTACACTCTCTTGTATGTGCCTACACTCTCTGGTCTGTGTTTACATTCTCTAGGATGTGCCGACACACTCTTGATTGTGCCTACACTCTCTAGTCTGTACCTACACTCTCTTGTATGTGCCTAAACTCTCTAGTCTGTACCTACACACTTTTGTATGTGCCTACACTCTCTAGTCTGTACCTACACTCTCTTGTATGTGCCTACACTCTCTAGTCTGTACCTACACTCTCTTGTATGTGCCTACACTCTCTAGTCTGTACCTACACTCTCTTGTATGTGCCTACACTCTCTAGTCTGTACCTACACTCTCTTGTATGTGCCTACACTCTCTAGTCTGTACCTACACACTCTTGTATGTGCCTACACTCTCTAGTCTGTACCTGCACTCTCTTGTATCTGCCTACACTCTCTGGTCTGTGCTTACATTCTCTAGGATGTGCCTACACACTCTTGATTGTGCCTACACTCTCTAGTCTGTACCTACACTCTCTTGTATGTGCCTAAACTCTCTAGTCTGTACCTACACACGTTTGTATGTGCCTACACTCTCTAGTCTGTACCTACACTCTCTTGTATGTGCCTACACTCTCTAGTCTGTACCTACACTCTCTTGTATGTGCCTACACTCTCTAGTCTGTACCTACACTCTCTTGTATGTGCCTATACTCTCTAGTCTGTACCTACACACTTTTGTATGTGCCTACACTCTCTAGTCTGTACCTACACTCTTGTATGTGCCTACACTCTCTAGTCTGTACCTGCACTCTCTTGTATCTGCCTACACTCTCTGGTCTGTGCTTACATTCTCTAGGATGTGCCTACACACTCTTGATTGCGCCTACGCTCTTTATTCTATGCCTTACACTCTCTAACATTAGCCTATACACTAGACTCTTTCATTTTCCCAACACTTCATGGGCATGACTATTTATGATAAAGCTTATGTTCTGCAACGTTGTGCGCTGTGACCTTTCTTGCAACAGCTAACCGTCTCTCCGTGTAGGATTTAGCACCTAAATAGTGTTGTCGTTACTACTCTCAAGCGTAGTAGTGTTTTACGTGCCATTCAGCTCAGAAAGACTTGGTCTCCATTGATATATTATCCATCGTAGGTAATATTGGCGCTCATTAGCTTATTATCCTTCGTAGAGAAGATATGCCCCATTTGTTAAATAGGGTCAAAGCTTCTAAGGCGGTAACTGTCTAAAAGACGATGACAAACAATAGCCACCAATTCTCATTGGCACGGCACATGCTGATGGTTATTCTTACTGGAATAAAGGTAGGCCCACCCAACCAGAAACACCCCGATAAGCCACGCACAAAGTTAAAAGTAAAGAAACCCTTTCCACGACTTTAGGCGTAGTGGGAATATAGGGCTAGACCGATTTTTTTATAGACCAATCGGCACTTGGTGGATGATGTGGTCAGCATCCCGCCGGCTGGCTTTACTTACCATGTTTGCACCTGGTACCCACTCAAGGCTGGGTCGACCTGGGAGTCAAGGTCATTAAAAAAAAAAAATATCTCCGTCAAGCCGCCAGCCCACGACCTTCCGATCCGCAGGCGGGCGTCTAGCCGCCAAAGCCACGGCGACTCCCTAAATAACAAGTTAACGACCACAATATATCTGGCAAAACACCACGCCAAGTTGGATGTTATAGTGCGATCAGTCTTTTTATGATGGGCGAATACATGGCGACGACGACCAATTGGTGATCGATCAATGACTAACTGTCAGTCCTGCATTTGCGGATCTCGACAACACGTTGCATATTTCAGAGACTTCAAAAGAGAGAGAGAGAGAGAGAGAGAGAGAGAGAGAGAGAGAGAGAGAGAGAGAGAGAGACAGAGACAGAGACAGAGACAGAAAAGAGACAGAGAGAGAGAGAGAGAATGAGAGAGAGAGAGAGAGAGACAGAGAGACAGAGAGAGAGACAGAGAGACAGAGAGAGAGACAGAGAGAGAGAATGAGAGACAGAGAGACAGAGAGACAGAGAGACAGAGGCAGAGAGACAGAGAGAGACATAGACAGAGAGACAGAGAGAGAGAGAATGTGAGAGAGAGAAACAGAGAGACAGAGAGACAGAGAGAGAGAGAGAGAGAGAGAATGAGAGAGAGAGACAGAGAGAGAGAATGAGAAAGCGAGAAAGAGAAAACGAGAAAAAGCAAGTGAGCGAGAAAGAGACAACAAGAAAGAGATAGAAGAGAGAGAGAGAGAGAGAGAGACAGAGAGAGAGAGAGAGAGAGAGAGAGAGAGAGAGAGAGAGAGAGAGAGAGAGAGAAAGGATTCTAGTAAATAGGGAGCTATGTGCTGCACGATACATTTCATAAAGTTTACATCCTGATTTACGTTTTCTGAGTAAACGATCGAAGAAGAAGAAGAAGAAGAAGAAGAAGAAGAAGAAGAAGAAGAAGAAGAAGAAGAAGAAGAAGAAGAAGAAGAAGAAGAAGAAGAAGAAGAAGAAGAAGAAGAAGAAGAAGAAAAACATCTGAAGACTCGGGACATTCAAATAAGCACTCGGTCCTCACCTTCAGCAGCCAGGGCAGAGTTCCAATTCTGATGGTGCCTGTAGCAGTTTGACTGTATGTCAGCCTCGACTTTGCCCTGAGTATTTAGGTTCGACTGAATTCCCTGGTCATTCCCCAAAGCACTTGTTTCTTTAGGCTAGAATAGACATTAACCATATCTATTTTCTCACCGAAAACGAGTTACGGGTCCAAAAAGCCGCACAACAGTTGAAGCTGAGCTTTGTCATATGATCTGTTTATGATCTATTACCCTCCGGCGCCAACAAAGTCAAGTGGTGTGCGACCACCGACCTGACATGCCCACTTTGCAGAGCTAAGCAGATGCTCGAGCACGTATTGTTCGAGCTGAAAAAAATCCCTAGGCCAGGGACGATATACTTGGCGCCACAACAAAGTCCTGAAAGAGTTAACAGATATTGTGGACCAAGCCAGGATTAGGTCCAACGCGAGGGCTTCTCATGCAGTCACCCCTTTGCGCTTCCTAAAGGCTGGGAACATTTTTAAAGGTCGCAACAAGGTCGCATACGCTCCATCAAAACTTGACTGTTCGAGGGACTTGTTACTGTCGACCTGCCTGGTTTCGAAAAGTACCCAGAGTCAATCCGAAAGACTGGCCTAAGACCAGAAATAGTGCTGCTCTGTACTGAAAAAAGGCAGCTCATCCTTTTAGAGCTGACCTTACTATGCGAGTGGCGAATGGAAGAAAATCACCTGTACAAGCTAGAAAATTACAGTGAGCTCGTGGGTGGTCTGAGGAGAAACGGAGCGTACATATTTAAAATCTTCTCTGTCAAGATAGTGGCAAGAGGTCTTAGCTCCACCTCCACATACACTGTGCAAAAGCAGTTGGGCTTGAGAGGAAACGAGCGTAAACAGTGACTAAAACAACTGGGCGACGCTGCTGAAAGAGCTTCGAGCTGGCTCTGGACGCAACGGAACGTCGTGGGGGATGGCCCTCGGTAGGCTGGTCTAAGTCCCTAGTGGAAAGGAGCTTCTTATCCCTTAAGGCCAGTGTCCGATAAATGTCTGCCAGTGTCTCTCTGCTAAATGCCAAAGTCTAAAACCTGTCTGATGAACCAACCGTTAACTTGTCATTCTGGTAGTTAAGGTAGTCGACTGATCTAATTTGCTACCGCAGCGACTATATAACACCAAATCTCACAGTCACTGTTGCAAAGTCACCATAACGTCTTGTCCCTGTCCGAGAGTCCGATAAAGTGTAGCAGGGAAAGATCGAGGCCTATAGTCCTGAACCAGGTCAGGCCTACCTTGCGAGATTGTATAGGAGGTAATGGGCCGAAAAAATTGTCGACGAAGGATCTTTCTACTGGTGATCGGTGGACCCCTGCTGTGCATGGTCCCCTGTGGAGTAAGTACTTCTTGTATTATTGTCGTGTTGCATTTGTAAGAACCCACCCACTTTGTCTGAATGTGTCTTTATTACAGTAGAAATATATGTATGGCCGAATAACACATACATAACCCTCACCGCCCCGATACATACATAGCTCAAGTGATAGATTTGTACATCTAATTTTTTTTTTTTTTTTTTTGTTGTTGTTGCAAGTTTTAGCTACGCCATTAATCCTTCTTCTTTTGGGTCTTCTCCATCTCTTTTCCCTAGAGCTTTGTTAAGTCAAAGTAAGCAAAACTAAAAGCGACTTCCCCACATTTGGTGCAGCGCACATAAAACATTAGACCTATGTCGTTAAGTTGTTAGTTGAAGTTCTAACAGCAGTGCAGACGGGTCGTCCCATAATGATTCCATTCCCGAGCATAAACATGAAAGTAAAATTAATCAGGCAACTGTCAGCTGTGCCACCTCGAATAGTCCCACACCAGAAAGGCAGCGTCTATTGGTGTCAACGGTCAGTCATGAAAGCCGATATTGCACTTGCAAAATTACTCGCCATTATAACAGTAATGGACAACTCCTTCATTTTAGTGTAGTCAACATCACGCCTCGGAAAAAAAGAGCGTGAATTCCGCGGATCACAGTGTCACATCAAGCATTCGACTCTGTACTGAGATGGGTGTTTGGTAACACTGTGTCCGTGGAATGTTTGCTTTTTTCTTTTTCACCCGCGAGGGCTTCTTTGTGAAGTGTACTAAATGTGGCACCTGGATGACTGTATTCTGAAAGGCATGTACTTATGCTGGGTTGTGTGTAATATGCCGGCTATCACATATAACTGCTCGCATCAACATTGAGCTGCACTATGGTGTTGGTACTTATGAAGACTGCCTAATGCATTTACTTTGTGTGTGTGAGTTTCCGTATTTTGCTGGTTTATACATTTTTCATTGATTTTAAAATGGAACAGTGAAACACAATTTGTATGATGTCAAGTATTTATGGAAAATAAGTTCTTTGAAAAAAATGATTATAATGGATGTATCCCATATTGATCTTCTTCTTTATAGTATTTTTTTTAATGCGACCTTGTTGACTTTATCTTTAGAAATCTGCCCAGCCTTGAGGAAGCGCATGGGGGTGACGGTAGGACTGGCCCTCGCGTTGGTCGTCATCCTGATTTAGTCCACAAATGTCGGTTAACGCTTTCATGACTTTGTTGTGGCACCAAGTATATCGCCTCTGCCCTAAGGCTTTTCTGCACGCAGACAATACGTGCTCGAGCGTCTGCTTAGCTCTGCAAAGTGGACATGTCAGGTAAGTGGTCGCATACCACTTGACCTTGTTGGCGCCAGGGGGTAATACATCATAAGCAGATTTTACGAGAAAGCTCAGCCAAAGCAGGGCAATTCGCTAGATCTTAATCTAACGGAGTATTCGTGGCAAGGCTCTCGTGAAAGGCAGCAAAGTCACGCGAATTGCAGGCGGCTGGTGTAATGTTGCCCAAAACTCACTTCCTGAGTCGATGAGTACAAAACTGTGGGTCTAGCAGTGTGTACCCGCATAGCCAGTGGTGGGAGACAATGTTCTTTGAAAAAAAATGATTATAATGGATCTATCCCATATTGATCTTCTTCTGTATCGTCTGATATATTTTTTTTTAAATGTTTCTGCCAGTGCTTCTCAGATAAGAAGATCACAAGCTTCTGTAAAGTCAGTGGTGCGATGCATGTTTTTTACCGTTCTATACAGTCAGGCAATCCTTTGCAATGCCAACGGACCAAACCTGGGATCTGGCACTACACGTGGAAAGCACGTCTGTAGCACCTGTTCAGTATCCTATGGTACCTGTCCACATGGGTAACATTCACAATTCACTGTACAGTAAAAGTAAAGTGGACGACCCTTTCCCCCGCACTTTCAGGCGTATTGGGCACATAGGGCTAGGACCTATACTTTAGAGACCAATCATCACTCGGTTAGGGACGTGGTCAATATCACGTTAGCCGCCTTTACTTTCCAGGACTTTGCCCCAAAATGCTGGGTCGACCTGCGAGCTGAATTCAATTCTGAAAAGTGTGCGGCTCCGTCACGACCTGCTTCAGCAATTTTCTGATCCAAAGACACGAGTCTAGCCACTACACAGCGGCTGCTCCCGAATCCGAAATATACTACACTAAATTATTCAACAAGAGATACGTTTCAGTTACAGGACGTTGCAGATTCAACCCGAATATTTTTTGTGGCTGTTGTGGTTTTTCTAGGCATATTTAGATCCAGAAGTTTGCCATTGTTTTCAACACGGTCGACTTCTCGATACCACTGTCAAAACCAACGCAAGGCGCAAGGTGCGCAGCTGGTATCGAAGCCGGCACCCTGGCATTACGAAGCGCGATCGCAACGCCTAAGCTAGAGACGCCAACTCAACAAGAGAACACTACAAGAATTTGAACAGAACATAATTTTAAGATTTTATTCTTTGGTAGCCGACAGGCTACACAATGACAAATTATCTAGTACGATAAGTAAATTGACAGTACACTGATATCATCGGATAATTATCTGGTAAATGCTAGAGCCCTTGCTGTCTGTAGCTTTCAAAATACGAATGATTCCTCCTCAATTGGGCTGAAAGAAAAAAAAAAGAGTATGAAAAACTTAATTATTTAGTTGAAGCATGTCGTAAGACTCGACTAAGTGGTAGCTTCATTCAAAGTCGGAGTGCATCTGCCAGAGGCAAGGAACCAGCAGTCTGTATATAAATGAGTCAGATCTGTAAAACGGATGCACACGCAACACGGAGGTTCTGGAACAGGACTGCAGTCCAGAAGTGGACGAACAACCAAAACTTAACGCCAGAGTTTACAGCCGGTGATCACAAAGAAGAAGAATTGGTTAAAACAACATTTTGTATGTAGCTGTTTTGTTAGGTCAAGATTTATTGAAACTAAACATTACGAATAGCTAGCCTGCATGGATGGATTTATTAAAACAAACAAGTATATTAACTAATTGTTACCGTGCGTTTTAAACGTTAACCGTTGCTCAAAATGTTTTGACTATAACAGTTACATAAAATGTGTATGTATGTCGTATTATTTGGAAACTTTCTGATCTGGCTGTTACATGGGAGAATGTTCTTTCCTAGTTGTTATAAGAAATGTCTAAAGGTAAGGCCGGGAGATGTGAACAAGCGTCTTTGCACACGGTTATAAACCATAAGTGCTCTGCCACCAGTACGGACAACTTATAAAAAAAAACGTTCCGCCTGTGTCAACGTCCGCACGAAACTCCGTAGCTACAGCGACGTTCTTCCAGTTAACCCAGAGTTTTAACTTTGGTACCCATTTCGTAGAGGCTGGGTGAACTGCGCTAACGCGGCGGACACATAAATGTGTCTGTCCTAGCTGTTAGATGGAAGAATGTTTCTGCCCTTGTTGTTACATGAAATGTGTCTGTCCTAGTAATTACATGCAATATTTCTACCCTAGCTGTTGCATACAATGTTTCTGTCCTATCTGTTACATGAAATGTTTCAGTCCAAGTATTTACATGAAATATTTGTGTTCCAGTTGTTACATTAAATGTTTCTGTCTCATATACTACATTTTGTGTCCCAGCTGTTACGTAAACTGTTTTTTTTTTTTTTTTTTTTTGGTTATCTGAATCGTTAATATAAGTGTTACATGAAATGTTTTATCTCTAGCGTTATAAAAGAATTCATGTTCTAGTTGCTACATGAAATCTTACTGCCCTAATCGTTATTTTATTTATTTGACCGTCTCTCTAGCGTAGTTGGCTAAACCGGATTGCGCGGTGAGCGGGTGACGAACTCCTTTTGGTCCGGGTTCACTCCCGTGGGTGGGCAGAAAAGCCACATTTCTCCCAGATTTATGGTATTTAAAATTGAATCAATGCCGAAAGGTTGCGATATCCATAATACCGAGCCTTAGGGTTAACAACTCATGGCTTCTGGATACTAAAACAAACAAACAAACAAACACACTTTATGTATTTATACAATACTTGTTACTTTCTCAACACATAGCAATTAGCGTCACAGCAAGCATTAGTTTAGTACAGTGATATATATATATATACATAGGATATATTAGACGGCTATTAGACAAAAACCAAAAGAGTTGTATGGCCGTAGACATTGAAGCGGGCGAGGCATGCGGGACGAAGTGAGGTCTCAGGGTATGGCGTCCGCCTCTATTATTGGAGATACCGGGTTCAGGTCTCCGTTAAGGCTGTTTTATTTTTTCGTGGACTTCTAGTAATTGTCTCTGGGTTGTAAGATCGGAAGCCCGTGTGTATTGTTGAGCACGATTAAAAAAAAGTCCTTGACAGTTGGAAATCGAAAAGAGTAGCCTAACTGCATTGCCCGGGGAAAATTTTGAATTAAAAATCTACCTAAAGGATTTCAGGATCCTCGCAGGTGCTTCGGAGTTCGTGCACTGCGCTGACAATCTTCAGACTCAAGCTTTAGTTAGAAGTAGAATGGAGCACTTATTAATATCATTACCCTTGTGTAATGTTATTGATCTGTTTAAACCTTAATATAAACCTAGACAAGGAAATATATCAAGAAGAATGTGTAGGGATAATAAATAACCCTACAAACATCTGAGTCTCATTTGAAAAGAAAAAGGCAGTCGGAAAGATGAACTGAGGAGTTTGATATCTGCAGTAATGGGTCTCAAGTGCTCACAATGATCAACAAGAAGGAGAAAGAAACTATAGCGATACTTACGGAATCTCACAGATAAAATTGTACTGTGAAGTGCACGAATCATCGGCCCATGTATAGTTGTTTTTCTCAATCAGGTCTAGACAGTCTTGGCCTGTGGTAGAGAGAAAAAAAGCTTGGTAAACGACTCCGCCTCTTGCCATTGTGGCAAAAGACACGATACTCAACATCATCCATTGTGTTCCGTTAGACGTCATAAGGACTCGCAGTCGATTCACTGACTTCTCTTTGTTACCTGCAAATTTCTCGATTTCTGACATGGAGTTCAGTCCATTATTTTTTGCCTCTCGAAATAATTTTCTTCCTAATAATTTCTTTAGACCTCCTCTTGTTCTCTCTCTCTCTCTCTCTCTCTCTCTCTCTCTCTCTCTCTCTCTCTCTCTCTCTCTCTCTCTCTCAGACTGTTTGTTTCACATTTCAGTGCCTGTTTTGTAATTTTATTTGGGATCACTTTGTATCTAAGTGTAAACAGTATATCTCTAGCGTCTTTATCTGATTGCAGTCGATAGCTGTTTTTGTCCAAACATTTCCGTGATCTCCTCGCTCTTTTTAAATTCACATTAATTTATGTTCATGATCATTCTCAGGCATTAATTTTCAAATGCATACAACTTTGGTTCCATATCTTTCGCGGTTCTCTAACTTTTCCTGGCGAATGTTAGAAACATGGTGCTAAATGCGTATTATTCTTAGACTAATATGCATTGAATGAATGATGTGGTCGATATACAGGGTGTTTGTAAAAGCTCACTACACTTTGTATGCACATAAAATTTTGAAAAAAAATAAAAAGGCAAAGCGTATGACGTCATCAATAAACAAGCTTGAAAATTCAGTAAATTAGTATCACTAGTTACTTAATTTATAATTTAATTTATAACTTACCCCTGACGTCACGACAACGTCACGGGTGACAATCCCAATAAATTCTTGGGTTTTCAGGTTGTAGTTTCTCGCGATTTATCTACTACCAAGTTTAGGGTTAGGGTTAGGGTTAGGGTTAGGGTTAGGGTTAGGATTAGAAGACACTAGATGAACACTCAAAAAAAAAAAAAAACACCAAACAACAGCACACTTGCACCCCTTGAAATAATGGACTATCAGGTCAGCTGTGGATTTCCCACGGGGATTTCGTGTTTGGGGTACGTTATAAATTAAGAACCCTAGTTGCTGTTGTTTGCCGCGGTGGGGATGCTCGTGTTTCTCAACAACCGCTTGAGCTATCTCCGCGATAGCGTAGCTACTGGCAGGGTCTCACAAGGCTAACCAAAGATTTGAATAGAGGCGGGTAGTATCTGCAGCAATGAACCGCAAGGGCTCGGAACGCTAAAGAAGAAACAAGAAGTCACTGCTATGGTCTAATACTGTTTTGGGGAAGATGGAACAGTACCAGTGAAAGAAACCTGTTCAGCACATTTCTAACCATAATGTGATGTGGAAGTTGTTTATCAGGGAATCTTAGCTATAAATATTTGAACACCCATCAATGTATATTAGTTACTAACAACTGCTCATTTGGTGTGCAGATGTCAGTGTGATGGTTGACACTGTTTCATTTTGAAAATATCTGCTTTCTTGGCTTGATGTTGGACAAAGTACGACGGAAATCACTCTTCACATCAAGATGGCAACTCTGATTTCATGAATGTTAAAGCTCAAAATCCTGATTATTACAAGCACAAACACAATCAGTTTTAAAACTGCCTGACGCTCCCCTTGAAACATCCTCACGCTTCCGGGAGGGGAGGTGGGGTTGGGAGGAGTGGGGGGAGGGGAGTGTAGACCACTGGGCTATATCATGCTAAAGTCAGAGCCAAATGCAACCATTCAAGAAAATGTCAACAATGGGTTTTGGCTTGAGTTCCTAGAAAAAGCACGGTATTTTAGGAGATAGACGCTCCAGAAGGAAAGTAACATTTCTTAGTTTATTCACAGGGTTCAGTGGTGGCAAAACTTGGGAGCATCTCTTGAAAATTATGGAAAAACATTTGGTATAGGGAGGGGTTTGTAACCCCTAAAAGAACTTGTAAGAGGACTAAGCGGTCATCTAGTGATGGTAAGAAGTTATCACTTAAAGGATTAAAAAATATATTGCGTTATTTTAAATACACTATCTGTTTCGTTATTCTTCTTCTTTTACCTTTCTATCCCCCGTTTTGCTATTCAGAGCATTGTTATTACTACAGTAATTAGTAAGAACCTAAACAAACCTACTGTTTCTGTAAAATACGTAAAGGGGCTTAACTGTCCCACCTCCGTCTCTGAGTATCATTGATGGTTTCTCTAAACCGTCGCCACTGGGTGGTTTTGCTAGTAGATAATAACGGATAAATACTGTGGCTAACCCCATCTGTAAGTTTTGCTAGTAAATAATAACAGATACATACCGTGGCTGCCCCCGTCTGTGGGTTGTCCACGCTGCCAGTCGGTGAAGTTTAAAGGTCGTCCTCCATTGGACAACCACTCAAATGTGCCCTCATTAAATATATCGGTAGCGCCAATCCACACCTTTTCAGCTAGTGTCATAGATAAAGTGAATTATTAGCGTCTTGAATGAAAGCACCAATAAATATCATTTCAGAGACAATAAATCAATACTCAGATAAAAAGAATATTGGTAATAGTTATTTTTTGATGGCGATTGCAGGTCATGTCTGGTGTGCTTTTGGTCATTTCCGACAGTATGATCCTTCATAATTTGTGGCGTTATGCGTCATCAAAGAACAACACATGAAGTGGTTTAGACATCTAACAAGAATGCCATGGTACTATCCGCCACAGCGAGCCACACTAAAACGTTACAACGGGTATAGAGAGAGTGGAAGTCCTCGGAAAATATGGGGTGATGGCATTAAGAACAGCCTTACAGAAATGAACATCAGTCTTAATAGTGCTCTTGACAAAGCTCA